AAGAAATGGGCTTTACGAGTGGACGGTGATGCCATTCGCGCTTTCTAACGATTCGAGCACATTTATGCGCCTCTTGAATCAAGTTTTCAAACTTCTTATGTGAAGTGTTTTTGAGGTCCTACGACCACAACAATTTTTTGTTAATATGGAAAGTTGTAAATTCCTTGTTGGTCGCTTCAATTTCTTGGGGTTTGTGATCTCAACAATAGAAATGAGAGGTGGATTTTAGCAAAGTTGCGGCTGTAAGGGATTGGTCGACCTCTAGCTCCTTCACGGAAGTTCGACAATTCCACGAGTTGGCCTTTTCATGTCGTCTGTTCGTCAAGAACTTCAGCAGCATCACTACCTTGCTAATAGAATTGCTCAAATTAGTCTATTTCTGTTTGACCAAGAAGTGCAGTTCAATTTTAATTGCTTGAAACATGCCCTGTCTACCGCTTCAATTTTAAAGTGTTTAATTTTTGATCTTTTGTTTGAGGTGGAATGTGATGCATCTGACATCGATATTGGAGTTGTTCTTAGTCAACAAGGACATCCCGTAGCCTACTTTAGCACAAAGCTCAATGAACCTACAAGGAAATGTTCAACATATGTTAAGGAATTCTATTCGATCATAAGGGTCCTACAACATTGGAGTCATTATCTTTTATTTGATGAATTTGTCCTCTTTACAGATCACGAAGCCCTTAAGTATTTTTAAATAAAAAAAAAAAAATTGAAAGGAAGACACACCACATGGAGTGAATATATTTCAGCATTTTTAGTTTATGAGACTCTTTAATCAAGTAGTTGATGCTCTAAGTTGTTGACAAGTCATTCTATTAGTTTTGCATGCTAGAGTTGTGGATTTCAAACTAATATGGGGAATGTATGTTGAGGATCATTGTTTCTCATTGGCATGGCTCCAATGTCTTATTGGAAATTATAAATCCTTCCACATCAAAGATGATTTCCTCTTCAACGGAAATTGTTTATGGATTCCTAAATGTTCCATTCAAGAAGTCATATTGGTGGAAGGCCATGACGAGTGCCTGACTGGTCATTTTGGAAGAGATAAGACTAGCTTTCTTCAAGATAAATCTTATTGACCCTCTGTGCATAAAATATGGACCTTCATGTGAAAAGATGTGTATTTGCCATTTATCCAAGTAAAGGGCTCAAAATTCAAGTTTATATTTCCTTTTCTCGTTCCTGAATTTCTTGGAGGGATATTAGCTTGGATTTTGTGGTTATTTTACCAAACACTCAACGACAAAAGGATTCTATCATGGTGGTGGTGGATAGATTCTCCAAGATGGCTCACTTTCTACCAGACAACCTTTTTGGACGCCTCTCATAGAGTTGATTTGTACTTCAAAAAGAGGTGGTTCGTTTACTTGACATTCCACTTACTATCACATCCGATTGTGATATTAAGTTTTTAAGCCACTTTTGGAAGAGATTATGGGGCAAGTTGGGAACCAAACTTTAATATAGTTCCACATCCTACCCACGAACTCACAGACAAATAGATGTTGTTATTAGAAATCTTGGAATCTACTTCATTGTTGTGCGAGGAAGAATCTTGCACAATAGGATCTTCTTCTATTATAAGTGGAGTTTACCTATAATCGGCCCCGCAGTCGAACATCCAAATATAGACTTTTTGAGGTGGTTTATGGGAGAAATCTTATATCTCCACTTGATCTTACATTGGATTTTCACATTAAAGTGGTGACCCTGGATATTGAGGTTCAACTACAAGAAATCCAAATGTTGCATAAATTGATTCGTGAGAATATCATAAGACAAAATGAAGTATATCAGTGACAAGCAAACAAAAGGCGGTCAATTTCAAAGGAGGCAAAGTATGGATTCTACTAAGGATAGAGTATTTTCCTCTGGGAAGACACCGAATTGTGAAGCAGTAATGACGACGCTTATCAAATTGATATTTTTGGATAGTACAATATTTTTACTACATTCAACATCATCGACTTGACTCCACATTACAAAATCGATTCTGAAATTGCTTCTCATAAAGAATCCCCGCCAACTCCTGGAGAATGATGCGAGAAATTAAATTGTCATGTTTCTAGTAGGGTGTCATACTTGTAATTAAGACGTTTTTCTTAATTTTTTGTTTTTGTTGAGGGTTTGCCTTTGCCTAGATAAGACTCTTGTATGTTAGAAAGGGGATGGAGAGTTTTTTGATTGTTGTAATAATCTTTCACGTATCCTTCCTGGTTAAGAAATGTATTCAATATCCTGGAGTTGCTCTTAGGTGGTGATCAACCATCTTTATTTTTAGTTAATGCATTCTTTCGCTTTCTTGGGATTTTTCGGCTCAGCTTTCTTTCTTTCCCGGAATTTTTCAGTTTTACTGTGTTATGGTTTCAAACCTTCTTCCACTTTTTCCTCATAGTTAAATTTGCTTATTTATAAATTGCTGGTACGTCGGCTTTTATTTCCACAAGACGTGAATGTGGCTATGAGGCTGTATAGATTACTTTCTTGAGATGTTTATAGGAACCATATTTCCCCAATTTATTTTAGATGCATATAAGCATTAAATAGACCTCGAGATAGTTTCCTTGCACCTTCAAATTCCCTTGATTTTCTATTGAAAATTGGGACTCTTTTTAGGTTTCGTTAAGCCCTCATAATCATAAGATTAAGTTTTGAAGTGTAATATTAATATGCTTATCACACAAAGTTGAAGACTTACTCAATAGAGTCAATTTCTTTTAGTTTGAGTGCTAGAAGCTATGGTTTCACTTGATTATAGACTAATGATGAATTAATTAAAATATTTAGCTTAATTTTTAAAATTATTTGGGGATAAAACTCGGAGAAATTTGAATAGTTCATTTTGTATCCTAGGCTATCATGCTACCTCTATCTTTCTTGTGTTTTTTTTTTCTCTAATATTTTTTTAGATAATTGCTTTTGATGTACACATATCATTTTTTGGTATTTAAATTTTGCTTGAAAAATTATTTTAGTATGAATGCTTTTACTGTAGCTGAATTGAATATGAAAAGAATGACAAAAAATTTAAGATTTTTTTTAAAAGTTTGTAACAATAGTGATCTAGAAATCATTTTATGTAATTCAGCTGCTCATTTTAAAGCAGAAATATCCAAAATTAAATTTCTTAATCATAAAGATAATTGTGTTTCATTATTTATACCTGGTTGTCTTCCTTTGTAAGATTACTTGGTAATGATGCATGTCTCACCCAATTTTATTAATTTAGATTTTGTAGACCAATTATATTATATTATATGGATTTAGGTGTTGGGTTATAAAAAAATTAAAGTGTAAGGGAGAATAACATGTTAAGATGGGTGCATGGTATCAAAGAGTCGGTGGGAGTACTACTCATCATAGATGACGTGATATAAAATAGACTAAAGGTTAATGGAGGGTACAAGATGCATCACACCAATACATTGGACTAATAAAAGTAATGTGGAGTGATTTAGAAGAAAAAGGGGGAAACCTGGGTAACATTATAAAAGATGTGCCAATAGAGTTGAACAAATATATTTAATGGCTCACACAATTCCCAAACAAATATGAATAAAGAATTAGGATTCATAAAACTGACCCCAAAATATTTGGGATTTGGATGAATAGAGAATGACTATTGATTGCCTAGGAGAAGTGGCCGCTTCTAAATCCTACTGAATGTTATGAAAAATTTGAAGTAATTTTCTATTTGTAGATTGAGTGTACCTCACCAGATTTTCCATGTTAGTTTTTCATATGATATTATACTAGGTCACATGGTTTCGCTAGTCAATTTTATACCCCATTCTCAATTTCTTTTCGCACATGAACTTATTCCTGGTTTCCCTAGTCATTTTTATATCCCATTCTCTGTTACTTTTCACGCATGAACTTATTCCTACTTTTTATATGCTTCTCGTGGTGAAAGATTTGAGGGGTTCAGAAGAGAGATTTGAGCTGTACAGAAATGAAATAAGAGAATAAGAGACTTGCTTGAATTTCCCTTTCAAGCATGATTTGATCACAAATGAAATCAATTAGGGGTTAAACTCTACTTTTCATTGCAGAAAGCTATGAAAGTATGTTTTAAATAAGGGAACAAAGTGTATTTTCATTTTAAAAAGTTGACCATTCTTTTTTATAAAGTTCAGTTTTAAGACTGCCTTTAAGATGGTATCGAGTTTTGAATCGAGAATCCATTTTTTTTTGAGACATTCGCTATCTTTTGGTTCGGAGCTTGATTACCCATCAGTTCTGCTTTTAAGTTGAAATTTAAGAAATCGACTTGGCTTTTTTTTTTATTCACCAGTTGCTGTCATTGAGCTGACAAGCAGTCTTATAGAATTTGCAAACCGGCTGTTCCAACAGATTGGGTTGGGATTGATTAGTTTTCCCTCGACGAAGTCCTTGCATTCATCGGATGCGATTATTGTTGCTGATTACTGTTTTTCTTTGCTAGTTGATAAATTATTCTTTTCCTAGTTTGATTGCTTATCTTTGTTACCTAGATTTCTTTTTTAAATTTGTTTGGTGGCTTCATGAAATTGCCTATCACTGTTAATTTTATTAATTTGTTTAATTATTTTGATTATTTAATATTTATAGATTTTTAATGTCCGCAATTACATGTCCTGGTTGATGGTCCACTTGGGACAGATCAGGCCAGTTGAATTATATGTTGTGATAGTTGAACTGTTCAGTGTCCATTTTGGGCTTCCAAACATTGTTCTCACTTAATCCTACTAGCTATAGAAGTTACATTATATTGTTTTCCTTGTTTAATTTAAAGATGACTTCTTGAAGCTATTTTGTCCAGAAGATAATAATCGAAACTATGTCAGAGTGATAATTAATCTATTGGCTCAGTGATAACATGCTGCTGTTCCTTTCCCAATAAACTTATGGAGCCAGCTGATATTTTCTGTTGCTGCAGCTTATTTGATTCAGGTTTTAGATATAGTTAACATTAACAATTAATTTCGCTCGACTTGTAATTGTGATTCTAGGTTCTTCACATTGCCCGGAACTTTGCCGATCAATGGATACCCCGCAATTATCGTAGGGTGGATCCTTCTGAGAGAGATGGAAAAAATCCATCTACAAAGCATCCACGCAATGACTGGTGCCAGACTTCAAAAAATCATTCTTTGCAAGATCACGATAAGCGGGACTCCGGTGCAACACTTAATGGCTCTGTTGCAAATTGTCTTCCTTCTTCTGCATCAGAGTTCCAAGGAGAATCTCTTTCTCTTCCTCCTCAAACGCCATCCGGCTCTGTATCCTTTGCTGATAATATTCCAATTGAAGGGACGAGAACTCGAAAACGTAAAAGCCGGTGGGACCAGCCTGCGGATGTCACCATTCCAGATATTGATGTCTCAAAACAAAAATCGGAGATTCAAACTGAAGGAAACAACTCTTCAGATGTAGTCATTGCATCTATTCCTGTGTCTGTTGAGCAAAATAGTGATGATGATGGTGAAATGCCCCCAGGATTTGGGTCTGCCTCCATTAATGACGGTGCTCGGGTAACCAGCCCGAGTCCAAATGTTACAGGAGAAGTGATTGGGTATCCATCAGAGAGATATCTTCCAAACTTGACTGTTTCTTACGGCATCCCCCTTGACCTGATGCATCAACTGGGAATCCCTGAAACTGACGCAAGCAATCAGATCGATCCATCCTGGAAAATCGCTCCTGCTATGCCTTTCAAACCTTTCCCTCCCCTGCCGTCTTATCCTCGGAACGACCCCTCTTATTCATCAAACAGATGGAAAGCATCTTGTAATGGAAACTCTAGCAATGTTAACGGTGTAGAAGAGAACAATTTCCATTCTAGAAATGAAAGTGCAAGGTTTCCGAAGGACGACAATGGGAGAAGGTTCTTCAAACCTCAGCAATGGAATAACCAGAGGCCTCCGCGGTGCGGGTCTCGCTGGTCGCAGGGAGGGAATGGTTTCAGTTGAAAGGTAAAAATTCAGGAACAGAAGTGGTTTTAGACTTACTGGAAATTATAGGAAAGTTGTTGGTGGAGGTCTCAGTATTTTTTTTGTCCCAGACGGTGTAAATACTGCTGGTGTTCACTCTCAACTTGGCCGACAACGCAGAACCTGAGCTTGAGATTTGATTAATTGAAAACCAAAAAAAAAAAAAAAGAGTAAAAGCGGCAAATAGGTGATCCTCTTTCTAATTGTGATTTCTTTTATAGGTTTATATATATATATATTATGTCAATGGAACCCCTCATTTTTATTTGCAAATAAATGTTTTTCTTTTTTTAATTTTATTTTATGTCTGATTTATTTGCACGATATTTGAATGTAGTATTTAGTTTCAGTTCATCTCTTAAATTCCTTGTTTTTATTCTAAAATATGAAAGTTTAAAAAATGGGGGCATTTATATGCATTGCACACAATTCTTTTCCATTTACATATCTCACAGCTGAACTTTCATATTTACAAAAATAGCTTTCAGAACTTCAATATCACATAAAAACAACATTATTACACTTTAAAAAAATGAAATATGAAGTTTTAGGTGTGAGAGATGTGAAGATAGAAATGATCTACAGGACTTGGTAGGGAATGTTGGAGATTGGTATTGCCACTTCAATCATGATCGATGAAGACATTGCTTTTTACATTATTATTTTTTTTTTTGTACTTTTCACACAGTCGATCGTCCAAAAGCTGAAGAGAAGAAACTAGGCAAAATTACTCACTAAATATCATCTAATTGCACTAAATTTGTGTATTGTAAATGTATGATATTACATATGAATTGTTAAAAGAGACTTTTTTTTTCCTAAATACATGTATTTTACTTCCATATATGTTTATATTATAAGCAGTATTCATTTATTTATCTCATCTTGGACTCATGAAGATTTAATTTTACTTTCAGAAAAATTTAATAAGTTATATTTTAGTTTACTTGTAGTTTGTATTTCAAATTTGATGAAACAAGTCCTACAATTTAAAATCTTGAAAAACCCAATTAATCCTCATTACATATATCGATCTAACTTGGGCATATAGGTGTGTGTTATATTATTACATGGGAATTTAAGTGGCCTGTGTGTAAACCATCCTCACTAAAAATTTGAATACTTTTCTTTCCTTGCCACTCTCCTTCAATCCCCACTCATTTAAAAGCGCCTAATATGTCATAATCACCTCTGTTCCTACAGTCTTTTCACAACTGCCAACTACTTCCCATACCTTGTCCCTTAAATAAACCCTGCTCTCTCATGCTTCTACTAATACCCATCACCATTTCCCCACCTTTTTCTTATATTTTTTTTATTAAATTAAAATAAAAAAATTAATTTATTATCCCTTAAATAAACCCTGCTCTCATGCTTCTACTAATACCCATCATCATTTCCCCACCTTTTTCTTATAATTTTTTATTAAATTAAAATAAAAAAATTAATTTATTTATTATGTAGGTATTATAACCATCAAATTTAATCTTTTTCCTCTTAAGAGTTACTCTACTCCTTTCTCCATAAGGTCTGCAATCTTCCACTACTGGGGCTCCTTCAACTCTTAGCAGCATATAAATACTCGCATCTCAACCTATTTAATTATAAAAAAAATTCACATCTTTTTAACCAAAATAAAATAAAATAAATTCACCCAAAAAAAATCATTTTTTTTACAATATGTCTGCAATGTCTGCTTCAAGAAAGCTCAAAAATGAACTAAATACAAAATAGTAACACAGCACTAATCTCTCGCTAATTCCAACCCCCTTTGGCTGAAGACAAATAAGAGGATTAATTAATTAATTAAACAGTAAGGTCATGGAATAAAAATCCCCAGTGGGATGAAGGAGGAGGGCACATCAAACCACCTCTCACCCCCCCAAAATCCCATTATATTTCAGTTTAAATAAAGTAAAAGTAAACTGTACAAAAATCAGCCATGAATTCAATCAAAAGCTCGAAGAACGGCCACATCTCTCTTTCAAGTAATCTTCCAAGGAGGTATTTGATGTTAAGAAATTTACAGATTGATCCATGCTGCTTGAGGAGAGCTCATCTTCTTCTTCCACGTCGAGCAGAGCAAGATTGATGTGGGACTGAATGTTCGAATGGAGGAGAACAGAGTCATCGTCGGAGTCCTCGGAAGCCATTGAAGCCCTCAGCTCTGCTCTCGCCCACTCCACCACTTCATCTTCTTCACCTTTCAGAAGCTTCAAAACCTGAACTTTGGAGCTGTTATGTTAGTAAATGTTTTGATCACATAAAAGAGAGTTTTTTTTTTTTTTTTGAAAAATTGGGCATGTTCTTACAAGAGCTGCTGAAGGTCTGGAATGAGCATCACATAAAAGAGAGTTTTTGTTTGAAAAATTGGGAATGTTCTTACAAGAGCTGCTGAAGGTCTGGAATGAGAAGCTTGGCTGATGCAGAGAGAAGCAGAAAGGCACATCCTTTCTATCTCATCAATGTTATAATCATCACCCAGTGATGGATCAACCAGTTGATCAAAATTCTCTTCTTGAAGAATTGGTTTTGCCTGTCAACAAAAGCTCAATATATTCAATCCAAATATCCTTAATTTTATTTACATATCTAGCACAAATTTCTAATGTATTTACATATCTCACATCTAAACTTTCATATTTATATATATATATATATATAGCATTTTGATGTTTTAAACCTCTGCATGAAAGGTGCGTTTAACTTTTTAAAGTAGTCCCAAGTCCTTTTAAACCTTATATTACAAGAGTTCAAAGACTAATTTGACATTTTTATAGACTCGATGACAAAAATGATTTCATGTAAATAGTCAAGGAACTATTTTGACGCTTAAATCATGAAGTAGAAGGATCTGCGTTGATCAAGGAATTATTTGACTGGATTTAGCTTAAATCCTATCTAAATCATACAACCAGGCAACTCCCAAGTTTAATAAGTGACTCACCCACATCGCCAAACTCTCTTCGCCCTTCGGGCGGCTAGTGCATATTGGTTTCCTTCGAGAGAGAAGCTCAAGAAGAACAATGCCGAAAGCGTAGATATCGATCTTTGCATCGACGTTGCCATACATGAAGTATTCCGGTGCAAGGTACCTGCGGAGAGGCGACGAGCAATTTTAGCTTGAATGAATATGTACAAACTAACTTCATCGCGAATAAACACAACAATAAATTGTCTTTATGCATACCCAAATGTGCCTGCCAAATCACTGCAGTCTGTGTTTTTACTTGTTCGAGTTGATGAGGATGCCCACTGAGCCAGACCAAAATCAGACAGCTAAAGCAAGAAAATACAAGTATTTCAGTATGTTCATTCACAAAAATCAAAAGGAGAATTATAGTTTATAGTTATTGATTGTAAGGACAAAAAGATAATACCTGAGGCTCAAAATCATCAGATAAAAGAATGTTTGATGACTTTATATCTCTATGGATCACAGGCTCTCTATTGCTATCATTGTGCAGATACTCTAAAGCTTCCGCAACGCCGATCGCAATCTTATATCTGTCGGCCCAGGAAAGCTCAGTCTTGCCTCCTCTGATCCCTATATTCAAAAACAAGAACAATATAAGATTCTCATAAAAAAATAGATGAGAATAAAAAATAAGGAAACTTTACATTCGCACGACACAATTCTTATGGATCTACATATTTTACAACCAAAGTTTGAAAATTTATATTTATAACAGCTTGGTGCTATAAATCTAAGCATAAGAAATTGTATTTGGCTTTTTAAAAGTTTGTAAATGTAGAATTTTTGATGTGATGTTGAAGATTTGAGCACTATGAATGAAAATATTAAAGTTTAGGCCTTAGATATGTAAACTCATAGGAGAATTGTTTGGCATGTATGTAATATCAAGTTTGTGTGTGCCTACCATGACCATGAAGATTTTCATCCAAGCTGCCCCTTGAAAGGAATTCATAAACTAAGACGACGTGGCGGCTCTCAAAGCAAAATCCATAGAGGGAGAGGATGTTCTTGTGATGCAAATTGGTAATAATTTCAATTTCTGAAATGAAATCGTCCATCTGATTGTCCGATCGTCGCAGAACTTTGAATGCGAGCTCCTTCCCATCAGGCAGGCAGCCCTTGTACACCTTGCAGCTCCCTCCCTTCCCAATTATATTAGCTGCATTGTTTTCATAACTTGCATAAGAATTCATACAACAACGGATAGAAGTTACATACATTGCACCAAATTCTCATGTGTAAACATCAAATGTTATATCAGTAAATATAAAGATTTAAGTGTTGCATGTTGGAAAAATAATAAAATATGTTGGCCTACATATGTAATTAAATATGTATTATATGGTATTTTAAAATTTAACATTTTTAATCTTTTTCAGATAAGATCTGATCTTTCAGAAAAGATGTATTATTTCATAATTAAATAATATGATTATAGTCCTTAATCCAAATGATTAAAAAAAATCTTATTTCCATTATCTCTAACATCCCATAATCAAAAGAATCCGGAGATTCTTCTTAAAAGAAAATTCATATTAGATTCGAAGATTAATAACCCAAAACCATCTTCCTTTCATATCAGATTCTTGGTTTGCTTCCACATTTATTTATTATAGTGAATGCAACAATGAATTGATTAATTAAAAAGAGGAATTACATTCTTAGCACCCGAAACATTGTTATTTACAAAATCTACGACCTATGTGATATTTTTGAACCAAGGAACTGATGTATTTACACGTGCCACAACGATCAAAATATTGAGAATTTGATGAAAATGAAAAATATGGGATGGGGTTTTATCATGAATCTTGGTAATTGAGTGAGAATTTGAGAAATACATGGGAGTTTAGCAGTATGTGCAGTAATAATGTTAGTAATAGGGGTAGAAGAAGGCGAACCAAGAGCGAAGTTGGATGTAGCCTGCAGGAGTTCCTTGTAGCTAAACAGCCTGCAAACAGAAGAGTAATTCTCCAGAAGAGAAAGCAACTCTTTAGGGAGCTCCTCAAACACAGAGGCTGGGCTCAATGGATCCATAGCACCAACCCCCCCATCAAAACCAGTTTTTTTTACAAGATCCGATTTTGCCCGCCGATAATCAGGATGAACTACAGATGAAGCATAATACCGGCTTGGAAGCCGCATGACCCATTTAACAACCGAAGGTTTAGATGTCACATGCGGCCAATTCATCTTCTGGTTCAGAACTGGTCTTCTAAGAAGAAGGCACCCTGGTTTTCTTTCAGGAAATTCATGAATCGCCATGGATGAACAATTCATGGAGCTTTCATGATCCTTTGTCGGGTCCAGTTCTGAGGACACATCAGATTCATCAACTCGAGATTCATCATTGTCCAAGGAATCAAAACTTGAGCTTTCTACAGATTCGGTAAGCCGGCAAGAGATGGAGGGGCTTGAAGTATCAATGTTTATATCATCCATTTTTATGGAATCACGTTTCTGTAGAAGCTCTTCTGTCGACTTGATTCCTGTCACAACCCAAAAAAATTCAATTTTGAAGCTTATTCTGCTAATCCAACCAAAGAATTTCAGAGATATTTTTGAAAAAAATTGTAAAAAAATAAAACCTGCAGCATCTTTTTCGTAAATAATCTTCCCATTGTTTACAGCAAGCACCAAACAGCCGCGAGAAAGTTTCTTTGCACAGTACTTAGCCATGGATACGGATGAGGAACTGTAAATTTCAGCCAAAGAATCTCAATGAACAGAGCAGAAACAATATATAGTAAATCAAATGGGGCGGATGAGTTTACCATATAATATTACTGTTCTTGGAGCTTCCAATAATGAGCTTAGATGCTGAAACAGAGTACGCCTCCTGAACCAGCATCTTCCGGATGGAAGAACCCCGGCATAACTTCATCTTCAGCTCGACCTGAACCAAAACAATCACCAAAAACAGAAACTTTTTTAATCCCTGCTTTAAATCAAATCAAATCGCATAAAGAAGAAATGCCGAATTGGCAAACCAAACCTGCTTGAGATTACAGAAACCCTCATAAACAGCAAGCACGTCCTCAAAATGCTTGATAAGCGAAATCAAAGAAGAGGTACTCCAATCTGAATCCGCCGCCTCTGCAACAACAAAATTCGCAACAAAGATCAAATCTTTCCCGCACCAAAACAACAAAAAACATATATATATATTTTTCCTCATGGATTCACGTAATTACCAGTGGGAAGAACATGGATCGCGATTACCCGATCACCGGCCTCTGCAAGCTTGACAAGAGACCAAGTTAAAAGCTCCCTACCTCTGGAATCCATCTTCATTGCTACGATCAACGTCTTCCCCCCCTTCTCCTCCCCCGCAGCCATCTTCTTCCTCTCTTTTCCACTGAACAGTCAACACTCAGATGATAAAGAAGGGACGTGGAGCAGCTTCGTTAGCTTTCTTCCTTCTACGTTACAATAATGGCGTTTGCTTTTTTTCTCGCTTTCAAGTAATCAGCTTTTTTATTCACGTGAATGGATGGATGATGGATGCCATTCTTTGAACTTCTTATTACGCGACGGCATCAATTTTGTATGGTTGAAACTTAATTTTTTTAAAAGTTTAATCTTTCTTCGCGTTACATCTTCGTCAAAATTGAACTATTTTTTTAAAGTTTTTTTTTTCTTTTAAAATTGCCGTCAAAATTGGTTTTTTTTTTTTTTTTAATTTATTAATTGCAGTATGAGTGAACTGTGTTGAAATTATTTTTTAGATTATTTAACTAAAGTTTTCACAAATTTTTAAACTTTGTTTGCTTGTAATTTCCGTTGTGAACTGATTGCGATTTTTTTGATCGTGTCGGTCGCTAAATATTGGTTTCACATGCATTTTATAATTTATAAAACAAAAGTTTATTTACATGCATACCACCTAACTCTTATGTATTTATATATCTACCACCTAAATTTTAATTTTTGTATTTATGCAACCTGAAGCATATGATTGCCAGTCATACGTTCTTTATGGTAGATACATTATTAATTATAGATGTCATTATAAGAACTTGCATTGATCAGAATAGATGACAAGAATGAAGAGAAAAAGTTGTTAACATACTTTTGCACGTTGATTCATGTTAATCACCATACATTTTTTAAATAGAAGCTTGTGAGTGGAGGTGGTTAGCTCGATCGTGATCATTTAATCGTGATATTGGTATCCCAAATATTATGTGTGGATAAGTGTATTATTGGTCATTGAGTAATCCTCGTGTGATGGGTTGAGAATATAAGTCCGAACATAATTAAACCAAAGTACTTTGAAACACAACATTCACGAAAAAAATCTCTACAAAAGCCACTAATAATCAGAGAACCAAAAAGAAAATTTTTATTCTGGGGTCAATAGTCTCTCAGAGGAATGTATCACTCTAGTTAATTTCATCTTAAGGAATAACTAATAATACTCTCGATAAAAGAAGTTTCGCTTATATTAACATGTATATAGAAAAAAAGACCATCAAAGGATAGTTATTTCGTATGGGAACACCTCGATGTTTTCAAAGCTTTCGCTAAGCCACAGGGCATAGAGTAAGTCTCTCACATCCCAAATGAGTAGCGGCTCGTCGGAATCAGAACCTATGAAATAACCAAAATCACCTTGACGGGGATATCTCTATACGTCAAAGCTCACCAAGCTATAAGGACAGAGGGAATCACCATATCTCAAACGGGCGACAGCTTAATAGGAATCAGGTCTTTAAGATGATATCAACGAAGTCAAATGAGCGACAAGGCTTAAAGGGACTCATCAAGAGGAAAGGTAGAGTAATCCTAAAAGGTAGAGGTTGTCGAGTCGGGGTCCATAGTCTCGTCATCAATAACTACTAAGACCCTAAGTCTACTTGGTCGTAAAGGTAATCTACTCAACACGTCCAGATATCTCTGGTCAGCAGTTCTTGGATTTTATCGTACACGGGAACCTCGGTAGTCTTATGGTCAAAGGAACGAAACTATATTCTATAACTGTCAGGTGATGATCCAAGAAATGGGACTCATACATGCCGAAATGACAAAATTGCCGCAGGAAAAGAGGAAAAAGAGTGATTGGACCATAAAGCTAGAAAAATTCCCAATAAAAGGAATTATGCTTGTCAGGGTAGGAAGCCTTCTAACACCCTAAAAACATTAGATAACTACTTAAGTAGAAATCTATGATGGGCCGGTGAGGATGGAGAAGCGCGAGGGCTTCTCCTCGAGATATTAAAAATGATGCAGTGAGCTAATCAATTATAATATTCATGCCTTATTAAATGTGACAGGGGTGATAGTCATGCATACAACACATTCAAAATCTGACCCAAAGCCCATGCAAGAAAATAAATGTGTGAATTTTGACATCCTGAATATTTTAATCTTAAAGTTTTCATTGCTTTGAATATTTTATCGAGATTTTGTAGCAAATTTAGAATTTTAATTCTTGAAGAATCTATATTATATTCGTGATTACCAGACAAACTATAGAACGAAAAAATGAAATCCATTTCAAGCACGCAAGCATGCAATATAAAATAAGAAAATAAGTAACATCAAAATAATAAGAAAAGATCAGTGTTGCTCGGTCGGCAATATATCTCAAAAAAGAAAAAAAAAACTGCATACCACATTTACTTGCCCGATCCTAAATCTATCATCAATATCAAATGCAGAATTAAGATACGGGACACAAGCTATTGCTTCTGGTCCCCGTCACGTGGTTCTCACGACGAAATGCCTCGGAACCCTTGCCCTTATATTATTTTCGCTACAGGACTCTCCCTTTCAAAAAACAGGTGAAGATAGTTGTTACAATAATTGTGCTCCATAATTTTATACAGATGCATCAATCCTGAAATGATATGGATTTTGAGGTCGTAGATGATGATCCTACCTACATGCCTGAGGAAGCTAAACAACATCAAGTCAGACCTTCAGTGCAAGAAAAGGAACGTAGGATGAGCAAGTACAACACTTCTAAGGGAGAATGCGTCAAGGAGATGTTACAGTTGAGAGAGGAGTTTGCTAATGATTTGGTGAATGCAACGACCTTACTTATGTAGCATCTCCTAGTTATTTATAATTGATGATTCATATTTCATCTCTATGTTTTTTTCTAGATGTATTTTTTCAAAATATATATAACAGCTTGTGATGTATCTTTCTTTTTTGTGCATCGATAAACTTTACTTCTTAATTTTAAGTTTAATTATATTTTTTTTAGAATTTCTCTAATGTTGTATCAACTTAATTTTTTAATTAAAACAATGTTGTATTATAATAATAGAAAATATGAGCTCAAGATTATCAAGCACTTCAAAAGTTCCAAATTGTTATTGTGGTGATATGTGTGTTCAGTACTAGTCCAAGAAGGGAGGCAGCTGCCGAAGAAGATTTTATTCATGTTCCAGAAAAAGGACACCTGCTGATTGCAACTATTTTCGTTGGGTTTATGTCACTGACGAGGTATCTTCGGACCGTGATAAGCCGATGAGAGATGCAGAGATGGAGAGAAAATTGTCCGGAAGACTTGATTATTAGGATTTCAAGTCAAGCATCATTCTAGACAGTTAGTTTTTTTAGCAGTGAATCTGTTGCTATTATTTAATTCTGAATATTCTGAAAACTATATTTATTTCAATATATATCATATATAACGACAAAACAGTCTTTCTCATCAGAAATAACAGTAACATAACAAATCTCCCCAAACAGGTATCAACTTATTCATCAGCAGCTTTCTGATAGTTCATAAAAAGCTGCTTATCCAGGAAGCAACTTTACAACAACTTCTTTAAAAAGCAAATAAAAGAGTAGCGGTTGCTCTAAACACACCCTTATTGTCTTTTGCTTCTATCACCTCAACTAATATATATCCTTTTCAATTCTTCTTCTCTCCTCTTCAACATCTCCAATCATCTATTCATGTAGTAACCTCACATATGAAAGAAACTCTAAAGAAAAAAAATCGTCATCGTAGTTATCTTCTAAACATAGAAAAATGATAAATGGAATGAGTTGACCAACTACAATCTTGCTTGGGATGTTAGCATCCATATTCCTTTGAGGTTGCATTTATGATTGCCCTCCACAATCCTCACATGCTTCAAATAAATTTAATGCATAAGCAGAGGGCGAGAAGAATCATGTACATATAACATTCCTCATAATATTGATGTAAATGCCTTTTCATGCTACGGGTATAGTCAAGTTTGACCACAGCCTAGGATCATTTTCCTTAGTATGTTATAATATTTCATGCGAGAGCATTCATGTCATAGAGAGTAAGAGTCTATCATCTTAGCAATGTACAAATATTATACAAACACATAGATTAATAGAATAAATATTATGCAAACACATGGATAAATAAGTTGGGAGTAGTTCATAAGATATTAATTTTTTCTAATGAAAATAGATTAACAAGAATCAAAAATTTTTTTATTAAAAGTCTCTTATTAGCATATTCAATTAAAAAAAATGGTAATGAAATTAATTAAATGCATTTTAAAAACAATAAAATTCTTCTATATTTTACACTTATTTTGTAAGAAAGATTTTTTATGAGACTAACAAGTGTTAAATTATTAAATATCTACCTAAAACTTATATTATAGGGCCAGAGGTATTTTCACAATATATATATATATAATATGTTTTATTTATTTATTTATTTTAGAGCAATGATATTCCTCAAATTTCTTAAATCATAATAATAATAATATTAATATTATTATTAGTACTAGTATTTGGATTATGATGCTTCTTATTTTGTAATATGAAAATATGTAATATTTGATAAATGCCAAAAAGGACATATTACAGATATGCCCACAACATTTTTTATTTAAAAATTAATAAAAAAAATAAACAATGCTTTTGTAATTAGTTAACTAGAAAACAGAAATGAAGGAAACTACGTAGAAGTTAAACAATTCTTTTTTTATTTTAATTTTTTCTTAAAATTCATGTGTATGAAATATTTTTAATAAATAATATATCATATAAATATATTTATTATATATAGTAATATGAGAGGAAACCCTGACGTGACGTTGAACGGCTGATGTGATTTTTCCGTGCCGGTTTGGAGTTTGATGGCCGGCGGGTAACTTTTACATTGCTGGAGACAGATTTTTTTTTTTTTTTCCTTCAGAAAATAAATTTATTCGATAAATACATTTTAGAATTGATCAGGGTAATAAAAAATTATTATTTTCTATATATTTCAGCAATTGTAGCATAAAAACAAAAGTTTTAAGACTGTTTTTTATTATTTATTTTCTTTAGTTTTTTTTAGAATATTGAAAGGTTTATTTTACTTAAAAAAATTAGGAGTTATATATATATATATATAAAGAAAATCGGTATTTGACAGAACCCAAATACCGATTTCTCATGCGCATCATCATGTGCCTAAATATGCGAGAGTCATTGAGAATCGTACCCGTGACCTGAAGTGACTTACAGTGAACCCCGTCAACTAACAGACCACGGCTTGCGACACACACACATA